TATCTAACCTCGTGACACAACAGTTAAATAGCATAAAAATTTTAAAGAACAAAAAATTGAAAGGAAGTAATTGGCAATAGAAGAGTCACATACCTTTAAATGATGACTTACTGGTTAGAGGAAAGACAAAACCATATTTCTATCAACCCCCCAACACACAAATAATTATTAAGGAAAAATATAAATTCTAAGCATTTTAAATATAAACTATCATACATACTAAAATATATGCAAAATAAATAGTCACGTATACATGCAAGAAAACAAACCTGTATGCCCTAAGAATGTATGCACCAATGTCCTCTCTTTCCAAAGCTTTAAAGTTGTCATTAGAACTTACAGTACCTGACAACAATCCACATCAGTCATTCATATCCAAAGCATAGTTTGATAACTGTGAGAAATCTTAAGCAAAGAATTAAAGTTGATCGTTGAGATCATAAGGAAGAACCTTAAGAACTTCAAAGTTCAATACAAAAAAGAGAAGGAAAAAGCTTACACAAACATACCTCAAATTAAACAAAACAATATTCACTTGTAAAATGCTTGTCTGATGGTAACTTCATAACTGCTTAAATTACTACCTTGTAAGCCTCTCAAAATTTGACATGTTGGTCTCTCCTCCACCGTCTTAATGTATTGTCTAATCTCGTAACACAACAATTAAATTGTATGAAAATTTGAACGAACAAAAAATTATAAAGAAGTAATTGACAACAGAGGAGTCATATACCTTAAATGATGACCAGTAGGCCAATTAATGGAAAGACCAAACCATATTTCTAAATCATTAGCGTTTTAAATAGAAACTATCATATGCCTTAAAATATATGCAAAAGAAATAGTCACGTAGACATGCAAAAAAAAAGAACCCGCAAGCCCTATGAAAACAAGCACACATGTCCTCCCTTTCCCAAGTTTAAATTGTGTCACTAGAACTTGCATTATGATTGACAACAATCCATATCAATCATTCCTATCCAAAGCATAGTTTGATAACTGTAAGAAAACTTAAGCAAAACACTTAATTTGATCGTTGAGAGATCATAGTGCAGATACTTAAGAACTTCAAGGTTCAAGACAAAAAAGAGAAGAGAATGAAAGAGAAGGAAAAAACTTACACAATCATACCTCAAATCAAGCAAAATAATGTTCACTTATAAAAAGCTCACCTGAAGGTATAACTGCTTAGATTACAACCTTGTAAGCCTTCCAAAGTTCAACATGTTGGTCTCTCCTCCACCATCTTAATATACAGCAATCAATAGAGAATATCAAAACTCGTGACATAGAAGTTAAATGGCATAAAAATTTTGAAGAACAAAAAATTGTAAGGAAGTAATTGACAACAGAGGGGTCATATACCTTAAATGATGACCAATAAACCAATTATTGGAAAGACCAAACCACGCAAGAAAACGAACCTGTATGCCCTGCGAAAGTATGCACACATGTCCTCCCTTCCAAACCACTAAAGTTGTGTCATAGGAACTTGTGTTACCATTAACAACAATCCATATCAGTTATTCTTATCCAAAGCATAGTTTGATAACTGTAAGAAATCTTAACCAAAAGATTTAAGTTTATCATTGAGAAAGATACTTATGAACTTCGAAGTCCAACAAAAAAAAAAGTAAGAAAAAAAGGTTTTTTTTTTACAAAATAAGGTTCATCTATAACAAGCTCACCTGAAGGTTAGGTACCTAATTTGTAAGTATGTGCTTACATATTTATGGATGTATTGAGAATCTACACATAAACGCTCCTTACTAAACTCAGCTAGCGTCTTGCAGTACTATGTCTTAAGTGGCTACCTCTTTCTTGAGATCGGCGAGTTTTCCATCAATCTTTGACCAAACATAAGAAACTCACTTTTTGACGAAACAACCTAACAGATGATCTAAATGAACCCACATGGTAAAAACATACCTACTTTCGAAAATCAACCAATTACAGTTAAGAATTCTTAAACAAAGGTACCAAGGCATCCACTTCTACAAGTAAAAGGCTTGATAAATCATTGTGTGAACTTCCAAGGCATCCACTTCTACAAAAAAGGCTTGTAAATCATTGTTACAATAGGGTTATAAAAAATGGACTCAATCCGGAAACCCGGAAACAAACTTTAAAATAGTCATATAGTAATAAAGATACACATAATAAAAAATAAAAATACAAGCACAGACACATAAGGAGGCACATACACACCAACACTTCGATAACAAAAAAAAAAAAACAGAGTAATAACCACACACAGACAAACATGTTATACACATTAAAACACAAAAACACTCGAGACAAGAAAAATACAGACATACTATCATAAAAACATACACGCCAACAACCAATCGCAATAAACAAAAAAACCTATACACAAAAAAAAATTGATAAAAATAAATACACATTGTACACATAAAAACACACACAAAAACACATTGATTAAAAGAATACACATACACTAATGAAAACGCACTGCCCCCTTAAATTAAAAAACATACACACACTAATACACCAAAAAAACATGCACACTAACACACCAAAGGCATGCACACACATACACAAACTATTACACAAATACACATGTATGCGCACACCATCACTGAAACAAACACACATAAACACACTAATACATACACACCCACACACAATGTGTTAACAAACACTACTACACAATAAAATACACATAATGCATCAAAAAACATAGACACCAACATACCAAAACACACAAACACACTATTACACATACACAAACACAAACACAACATACACACATACACTAATACATCATCTCATATCACACACACCCACTAATACACCATCTAAAATATGCACACACTAATACACCAAAAAATACACACACAATGAAGCACCTAAACACATACACACATTCACAAAAATGCATACATTCCATCACATGTAGTGTTAACACAAACTAATCCACCAAAAACACAAACACTAATATACAATAACACACGCTATTACACGAACACAAATACACACACTAATACACTAAAAAACACACATTAATACACCAAAACACACACACACACCCAGCTAATCAACATATACATGCACACCCACACACCGTGTTAATACACACTAATATACCCAAAAACACATACATACTCCTACACCAAACAAATAAACACAATAAAACACAATATTATAGAAACATAAACTAACGCATACACACTAATATATCCAGAAAAAAACCCAAAAACATACGCTCTGTTCACACACACTAATACATCAAAGAAACACACTCATACACTCTGTTCACACATACTAATACACCAAAGAAATACACTCATACACTAATACACCAAAGAAACATAGACACATTTATATATTGCTCAACGGTGCCAAAGCTTGAGGGCGAGGGCAAGAGGCTAGCTAGACCCTCGGTGCCCCTCAACTATCTCTATCCCCTATATATGTTTTATGGAGGTTTTCCAAAAAAGACTTTAGCGGACATCTTCTGAACCGAGAAAACATAACGAGAGCCTAAGACATGGCGCTTGGACTTTTGTCGAATATCTTAGCAACATCGCCTTGCTTTGAATTCACGGGGCGTCATGATGCAAGATGCCACCAAGACACGTCCATTTCTGCGTCCAAGTCAATTAGGGTCTAAAAACTAATGTGTTCTTTTTTCATAACTTGCAAATTTAAAGATCATCTAGAATACAATAATTACTACCATTGAAAACTTTCAAACAACCACCACAATTTTTATAAAAACACATTAATATTTAAAAATGAAAACTATAACATCTACTCAAAGATATTCAAAAGGAATAGTCATGCAAGAAGCCGACCTGTATGCTCTTCAAAAGTATGTGTAGAGTTGTGTCACTTAAACCTGAATTACCATAAACAAAACTGTCATTGTTCATTCGTATCCAAAGCAACATGGTGTAGGATCTTCAAGTTTCAACATCAGTGTCTTTATAGTTCGATAACTACAAGAAATCTTAAGCAAAAGATGGAGATCAGGGATAATAATTAAGAACTTCACGAGAAGAGAAGAAAAGAAAATGCTAACAAAATCATACCACAAAATCAATACCATACAATACCCAAAGAAAAATCTATACCTTTCACAAGAAAACGCTTGGATTGCGGCTTTATGAGCCTCCCAAATTTCAATAGGTCAGTCTTTTCTCCACCATCTTTAAGATACTGCACTCAATAAGCAATATTACACATTGAGTCATAGCACAAAAATTTAAGAAATAAAATACTGTAAGCAATTAATTGACACAAAAATTCAAGTAATTGTCACATTGAGTTATGGCACAAAAATGTAAGACATAAAATACTGTAAAGAAGTAATTGGCAGCAGAATAGTTTTATGCCTTGAATAATGCCTAGTAGAAAAGGAAAGATTGATCATTCTCATACTTAAACATATACTTATACGAAAATCAATTGAATAGAGATATAATTTTTGGTTAAAAAGATCTTATTAAACTGTTTCAAGCATAATTGCAAGGATAAATTACTATACATGCTTAGTCATTACAAATTTCCCATTTCAAGCCACCATATTGATAAATAAATAAATGACCCAATAAAATATGAAACAGACATTAGAACATCAAGTGTTCAGAATAAGTATTTGGTGAATAGGATAAAAAAGTTCTAGGCAAACTGGGCAAAATAGATGAGGAAAGTATGCTTAATCAATTTTGGAATAGGTGCTTGTAAGCTGGGGTTTATCTCCAAAACTACAATTTAGTCACAATACTTGTACGTGAAAAAAACAACTGATAAAATTAATGATACAGATACATGCAATATATATGCATCGCTGCGATGTAAAGGTCATATTAGTCAAATTTGACTTTTTTTTATCACCATTAAAATATGACAAAATTGATCTCCAGAAGTAGCAATAAATTGGTCGAATTCCTACATATGAATAAGACATCCATAAAAGAGTAAACAGAATTTAGCTAAATCTCGGAGCAAAATATAAAGAGATATCAATGATCAAGTCAAACGGAGAACAGAATCAGGGAAGATTTTTTATTGATCAACTTACAAGAGGTGGGGTCCCTTGAGAAATACGCTGAACAGCAGAAAGCCACTGAGTATTCCACATGTATGGCCCACCTACTGCTTGAAGAGAAATTCCCTACACTATTCAGATTACGGGAAACTGACTTTATCGGAGATAGAGTTTTTTGAATTGGAGGTGCAAACCCAAAGAGAGCGACATAGAACCACAAATTGCGGAATAACTTCAAAAGTGCAGGTTCCACATATACAATAGGATCAAAATCTGAACATATTTCAGCCACAACAAGAAATAGAGGTCCTAGAAAATCTGCCTCAAGTCTCTGACTGTTTGAAAATATATATATATCACAATGAAAGTTTACCCAAAAAAGTGCAACATATTGCAGAATCATGTTACCAAGATACGCCCCAGCTGCAGGAGATAGCCCTAAGCAAACAGATAATGTACCTGAGCACATGTACTTAACACAAGGGGTTTGAAGCGAATGAGCAAGACACGCAGCAGCTGACGACAACGAGTGAGAGCAATTTGGGAAATCCCCACAAACAATAAGCCGAAGAGCTCATCACAAATTCTCAACTTTCGCCAGACAGAGAATAAACATGCTTCAGCAGCTTCTATCAACAATGCCAAAGTTCCATGCAACAACCTCTTCGATGACTTCCCATCCAAATCAACAGATGAAAGACTATTGATTTGTAACCTGGTTGCAGCTTGATAAACCGACAGCTTTTTATTGATTCCAACTTTCAGTAGCTGCCCCTGTTCCGTCCGGTCACGCTTCCTTATCTGCCAACAAAAGCAAATATTTAACCAGCTTTATCATTCATCTATATAGTTTTTTCATCAAGACATCAATAAAATTCAAAACCAAAAGGGTGGATACCCATGAATTTTACCTTTAGGAAAGCCAACATTGATTGGAGTTGCTCCTTGGCGAATGGCCCTCACTTGTTCCAAAAGCTTAAGGTCAATCTGGACTTTATCCAATATGTGTCCCAATCAGCTTGAAAGCAATCTCCTGTTGTTGAAGGCTCTCCACAGGCTCTTCCTCAAAAGAGGCTACCACTCGCTTGTACGTCGCGGAACAGCCTCCTCCTCCATCATTGAACCCAACACCAGCACCAAATATATCCACATTGCTCTTACACGCAAGGCTGCCCCCATTCATCACCAATCCTTTCGACGACAATGCACTGGTCTTCTCATCTGTAACCCTTGAAGCCTCACCGCTCGAAGAACTAGAGGCATTGCTGACCTCGTTTCCTGGACTGTTTCTCTCATTTGATTGATAATGGTTTGCACTGAGGGGCGAACTCTGAGACGATGACGCTTCAGGTGTTATCGCAACTAGCTGCTTCGGTGAACTAGGAACCGAAATTTCAAATCGATCTAGAAGAGTGGACACTAATTTGTGTGCATAGGAAGGAAGAATTTGAGGAAAATACTGCAACAGAGCATTCAAGAAAACCCTTGAAACCCCCAAATCCCCACTGACATTGTTAATCGCCGACATCACAATCTCTCCCGTATACTCCGGAACGGCCATGGCAAAATCCGACGACAACTCACTGGCTTTATTCACATAACTCAAAAAATCGAACGAATCGATTGAATCGCTTCCAAACGACTGTGGCCAAAAAGAATACGGAATCGACTTAAAAAACCCTAGGACTGCCGGTTAGGGCCTCATGTCGTCGAAATTGGGGCATTTAGAAAGAAATCTAGCGGTGGCGAGTACAGAGTCAATCGGTGGACATCGGCCACAAATCCAAGCCAATTTATCAGCAAACTGCGAAAGATTTTGTGCGATCAGATCGCAGAGTTCGATCAACGACTCCATTGCTTTACAATGGTGAAACTTTTCGGAGAGAGGGGAGAGAAATCAAACAAACGGAGGTGAAGAATACATCGGGTGGTGGAATTTAGGGTTTATGGAGAGACGATGGCGGAGGTTTGTACATTGGGACTCAGGAGGTTGGCTGTTCTTCTTTCTGAATTTTTGATTTTATATATATGTGTCGTTGGCTGTGTCTGATGAGATCTTTGGGTTTAAGGTCTCTCAGATTTTGTTTCCTTTTTCGTTAGTGTTTTAATTACTCACCCCAACTTGATGAGATTTAGAAATCAAATCATACTTTACCTTCAAGTTTCCTTAATTGGCCGTTACTTGAGATGATGAATTATGTCACCAATTAAGTTCATAAATTAGCTCATTATAATTTTATTTATTTTTATTGATAAATTTTTAATATTTTTTTTATTTAATGATGCAAGAGTTCTAAGAGAGTTTATGTAATTAAGACGAGTTGTTAGGTGAAATAAACTGTTGAGCAACGTTATTAAGACTTAATTTATCGATCTAATTTTATGACTTAATTTTCTGTGATCTTTTGATTGATTGTCAATTCCATCAAATATTGAAAGTAGGTGTTAATTAAATAGTTCCACTAAAACTATATCATTTTTTTTAAAATATTTTTTTTTTTAGGGGGAGGGGAGAGGGGGAAGAGGGCTTGTACTCTTGACATCAAAAAGGTAAAGTCATCACTAGATAAAGAGTACAATTAGACCAAAGGTCCATTAGTCTAAAATCACATCATTATGTCAACAAATTAGGTTAAATTTTTAGGTCTAAATATAATTATTCTAAACTTTTAATCCAACGACTGTAATTGATTAAATCCTCAAATTATGTTCAAATAATATTTTTCCTTTATTTGGGTTTCTATGCTTTGAATTGAGCACTATGATTTAATGTTTTACTATTTGCAAAGAGCAATGTTATTAGGACATAATTTAGAGACTTAACGATTTTGGCCATTAGATTGTCAATGAGTCCCAACATTAAATTATCACTGAGTCCGAACACTATCAGTTCAATGATCATAATGCATTAAATCCCCTAATTATGTCCATAAATTATATCCAAATAGCATTAGTGATTTAGAAATATGTTTAATACAAATTTGGGATAGTTGTTTTATTTATTTTTAATAATTGATTTGGTATAAATAGTTTTTAAACTACACCCACATTTCTTCTTCGCCTTTTCTTTTCTCCAACCAGTCCACTATATCTAACCACTGCCAGACACTTCTTCATATCTCTTTCATTTACCTTAGTTCGCCACTCATATCCACTAGCAACCACCGATACCTTTTCTTTTCTTCCTTTTCATCTTTTCCAACCAGCCATCGTCCATAACCACTACTATTTTGATTTTTCAAATGACGTGAGCTGAACCCAAATCAGTCTTGGATTTTTTTATTTTGATTTGATGTGAATTAATATTGGGTGATGGCAATGTGTTGTTGGTGATGGGTGATTTGGGTTTTGGGTTGCTTGGTGGCTCTTGATAAGGAATGGAGAGAGATTAGAGAATGGTGATGGAGTAGCGGCGGTGGAAGCACAGTTACGATGCAGAGAGGTCCTTGGCACCGATGATGGAAGTTCCCCAAGAGAATCAAATACATGAACATAACATCATATTTTTCCTTTTTTTGAAGTTAGAAAAGGAATGTTTGGAACACATGGAGTCAATCAAGGGAAAGTGTTAGTGTAGGACCAGGCTACGGTACATCCAAGGGGATTTTCGATAGGGTACCAAAAATTCAACGTGCACCGTAAATTTATCTAACAAGAAAAGTGAGCCGTTGATTAATGTGTCTTTTGAAATTTTTTTTTCCAAATAGTAATCAGTTACTTGTTGAATACCGATTGATAGACAAGACAAGACAATGAAATGACATGACAAGACAGTGAAATGACATGTTAGATAGTATATCATGATTACTAAAAGTAATTTTATTAAAATATAATACAATGTTGATACCATAATGAAGGGAATATTTACAATTTCAATGAATTGTTTAACAAATTTGTAGTAATATTTACAACTTCAATTGATTTCTTACCACATTTATGGCAATATTTACAAGTTCAATAGATTCTTTACGATTATGGGAATACTTGAGACTTCAATCGAGAAAAATATACTAGTTTTGTGGCAAAATTACTAGTGGAGAATAGTATTTACTAATTGAATGGTATGTTTTATGATATTTATTAGTCCATGATGGATCAATAAATAACATGATCGATCGATCAGAACACACATATGTGTGGTTAATTTATGAATAATTTACAACTAATCCAGGAATACTTACAACTTCAATGGATCATTTACCACTTTTATTGGAATATTTACAACTTTAATGAATTTTTTATGAGAAAATTTACAACTTTAGTGGATTGTTTACCAATTTTGTAGGAATATTTATAACTTCAATGGCTTTCCTACCACATTTATGGCAACATTTACGATTTCAATAGATTATTTACAACATTTATGGCAATATTTAACAGTGGATTGTTTATCACATTTGTGTAAATAATTACTATAGTAAATGTTTTTTTACTGTAATGAAGTTAATAATTACGAGAGTTATCAATTTTTTTTACGAGAGTTGTGAATTTTTTTACTAATTCAATGGTATTTTTTATGATATTTACTACTCTATGATCGATCAATTAGAACAATAGATGTATGGTTAATTTATGAATAATTTACAACTAATTTAAGAAGATGTACAACTTCAATGCATCATTTACTAACTTTATGACTTCAATTGATTCTTTATGGGAATATTTACAACTTCATTGCATTGTTTACTAAATTTGTGGGAATATTTACAACTTCAATTAATTTTCTACCCCATTTATGGCAATATTTAAAATTTACTAGTTTAAAAAAGTATTTACTAATTCAATGGTATTTTTTACCATATTTAATAGTCCATGATCGATCATTAAATATGATCGATCGATCCGAACACTCTGATGTGTGCTTAGTTTATGAATAATTTACCACTAATCCAAGATGATATACAACTTCAATGGATCATTTACCACTTTGATGTAAATATTTACAACTTCAGTAGATTATTTACCAAATTGCTGGCAATATTTACAAGCTCAATGGTATTTCTATGACATTTATGGCAATATTTAAAAATTACTAGTTTAGAAAAGTATTTACTAATTCAATGGTATTTTTTACGATATTTACTAGCCCATGATCGATCATTAAATATGATCGATCGATTCGAACACACATATGTGTGCTTAATTTATGAATAATTTACAACTAATTCAAGAAGATATACAATTTCAATGGATCATTTACCTTTTTTATGAGAATATTTATAACTTCAATGGATTTTTTATGGGAATATTTACAACTTCAGTGGATTGTTTACCAAATTTTTGATATATTTACAACTTCAATGGAATTCTTACCATAGTTATGACAATATTTTATAATTGCAGTGGATTGTTTACGACATTGATGGTAATATTTATAACTTCAGTGGATTTTTTACTGCATTTGTGTAAATAATTACTGTATTAAAGGTTTTGTTACTATAATAAAGTTAATAATTACAAGAGTTATTAATTTTTTTTTACGATAATTGTGAATATTTTTTAAGAGAGTTGTACTTAATTTGTAAATAATTTACAAGTAATTTAATAATATATACCAATTTTGTGGACAAAATTACTAGTGGAGAGTAATATTTACTAATTGAATGGTATAATTTATGATATTTACTAGTCTATGATCGATCATAACACATGGATGTGTGGTTAATTTATGAATAATTTATAACTAATCCAAGAAGATATACAACTTCAATGAATCATTTACCACTTTTATGAGACTATTTACAACTTCAATGGATTTTTTATGGGAATATTTACAATTGCATTGGATTGTTTACCAAATTTGTGAGAATATTTACAACTTTAATGAATTTTATACCACATTTATGGCAATATTTACAAATGCAATAAAATCTTTACGAATATGGAATAACATGATCGATCAATATATATTTTTGATCGTTCGAATTCACTTGCTAATTTGATCGATCATATTTGTTAACAATCGATCATTTCTCCCCAATACCTATATTACAGTGGATTCTTTATGAATCTGGAATAACATGATCGATCAATATATAGTTTTGATCGATCGAATTCAGTTACTAATTCGATCGATCAAATAGGTTAACGATCGATCTTTTCTCTCCAGTATTTTTATTACTTCTGAATCATTTTTAAAATCTAGAATAATATGATCGATCAAAATTTATTTTTTGATCGATCAAAATTTATTTTTTGATCGATCAAATACACTTACTACTTACCGATCTATCAATTTTTTACACGATCGATCGGTTGGTGTATTAATTGGTCACATTTTGAAAGTTAGGGATCGATCAGTTAGTGATTGGATCGATCATTAATATTTTGTAACTTCATGATCGATCATTTATTTTGTGATAGATCAATGTAGAGGTGTTGTTATAGCAGAAGAATGGTTGGTCAATCCCCTCATATTAGCAATATAAATGTGGTAGTCTGAAACTATTCAATCGATCATGTATTAGTTTGATCGATCATTTTTTTTTTGCCAGGCAGATCCAAGTGATGTTGTTTAGTGTTTTATTCCATACCAACCAATCAGGTTGTGACAGCTAGCTATAGCAGTTCCCTCCTATTTCCTCTTAATCCCGCCGAAAACCATTACCCAACTCCCTCCATCTTCTTAACATTGAGCTCACTGGTCTCCTCTTTCTATCTTCCAAAAAATCACCTCTCCCCTATTCATCTGATTCCATCTTCTTTGTTCCGAATTCGGTGCCTCCCTCTGCATCACAATCCTTTTATTCCTTGCAATATGGGTTAAGTATCCCCTTTCATTATTCACAAATAGGTTTTTTTTGGTTTACGTAGAAGTGTGTACACTCCTTCTCATTTG